CCTTGTTGCTGTAAATGGCTCTGTTAAAATCTCATCATATTTAGAATCATATGATATCAATTACTTAAGCATTCCTGGAAAATTTACGGGCGGTACGGTGGAACACTAACAGGTTAAATTAAAGCTTATATTTTCAATTTAATATCAATGCACCAATGGATATTACTGTCAGTCGATAATCTTTCATCTTAGACAAAAGCATCGTGTTAGGCTTCTGTGAACGGTAAATCCCACCTTGTCTGATTTTATTGACCATCTCAATCATTTTGAAATTGAGCGCTGATAGACTGCTGAAGATATAACTTAGTTTTTATAACTATGTTGTAACTTTTAAAACTTTTGTAATCCTGGGGGGGGGGGGGGGCCCTCTATGGTGGTTACAGCCCTGTTTAAGTGCCATGCTAACAGAATCTGAAGGATCAATTATTTAAAAGTTCCTTATATCATTAGCAGGATCAATGTCAAACATGATGCCGATGCTATAATATTCCCTAAAATGCATCACTTGGCATCTCTGTACAGCATAGCAGGAAAATTAGTAGATTACTCAGATCGTAGTGTTGACCACATTCCTCAAGCTCAAAATGAACAAACAAATATTATGGAAAATTATTGTTTATAAATGACAAAACAAACCAAAATCTGGCCCCAAAGTAGCTAGTCCCTACTAAGCGACAGCATCACTCTTAAGTTTAATATTGGTGTTAACGAAGATTTGAGTTACAAGAGGATTTGAGGGTTACAAAATCCGCAAACCTCTTAGAAAATGTACAGAAGAAAATCTCACAAAGCATTTATTTTGGCCCCCAGAAATTGAACAACAAAAAAACAACACTATCAATTAAAGTTTTACAATATTAATTTTAAGTGCCACATAAATGATTTCGCCCTTCACCAAACACAATTTCTATATATCAGACATTAGTAGCTTTCACTTTTCTCTACTGCAAGAAATTGTAATTGCACTATGGAGGGTTGGTCACACAATGCAAAAGCCATAATATTAATACTACACTGTCTGTTAACGCTATCAGTGTCGAGAGCACGTTTCAAGCAGCCATGTCAACCGAATGTAGTCACATGCTGTAGTTTCTGCCCAGTAAAGTCCTCCTGAACCAGTTTCAGCCCTGTGTTCACCTTCAGCACGAGGTTAAATAAACGCTCGGCGAGTTAACGCTCAGTGTCAGATCATGGCCTGGGCGCGTGCGCGAGCGGACCATAGAGAAAGAACCGAGCGCGTGCTGCACGGTGGCCCGTTCGACCTTGGGGAGGTGTGTTGTTGACGGAGAGGGCACCGTAGCCAGTCATTCGCGCAACACGTTACATACGAACCCATTGATCGCAAGTAAGCGGCTTACTAGTGCTGCTGCATTCAGAATACAAAAGCGAACCTGCGAACACTCCGGCTCTTGAGGTGATACTGACGCGCACCGGCTGCTGCTGGAGAATTACACCGGAGAGCGTTTTTATCACACTGGCACTGCGGCGAAAGTCAATGATATAACACGACATAATTTGTGCATAAAAGTGCACGTCTTGACTGAGACAAAATAGACACCTTGCGGCCAGATGTCTACCAGGTTGCATTGCATGCTGCGCGTGTTAGCAGTCAGGCTAACTGTTCACTGCTGCTATAAAGACTGATAAGCGAAATGAAAGAAATAAAAGCAGAAGCTTCCACTGTTTATGACAGCAATGAAACCACACGCATAACCGAGGTGATTAAATAAAGAAAAGCACGCATAACCAGTTAGCGAGGTGATATTGACCTACAGTACGCGTGGTAGGCCGCTGAATGAATTAAAGCCCCATGCAGTTATTCAGTCTGAAGTACTGACCGCTTCAAGTATCTTGACTTTAAACCGATTCCACCGGGGTAACGCTCCACCAAGCCCTCCTCCTTCACAGCGGCCCTGAATTATCCATGAGTTCACAGAAACCGCTCGTCCATGTGGCTCGGTACATAATTCAGCTGAATGAAGGTGTGAATTGACTTCAAGGCACAAAGAACAAAGAGCATATGTTCTCCCTGTCATACTCCAAAATGACCACACAAATGATAATAGCTCCAAGTAAAATTAGGATTTGGACCTTAAAATATGGAAACGACAATTCCCTAATGGAAAATCCAGATTATAATGGCTTCTAGCTGGTCCTTAGTTGGTAGGACCAGCAACAAATCAGCTACCAGCTGGTGAAACCATCTTAAAATGGTAAAGATGGTTTGTGGAATATGTAACTTAACCTGGCCAACCAGCTACTGATCAACTTAAAAACTACGTTAGGTAACGTTACTATGTTCCAAAACATGGTCGTAGCAGCTGAAGGTGGTCAAGATGATTTTTTTGCTAAATAGTATAAGGTCTGTTAGCTACTAATGAGAGATTTTACTGCGGTTCCTCAATTAGACGACTTTAAATAATGTGCAAGACCTGTTATTTATCCATTAGAGTTGAACTCAGATTTGGCGACACCGTTAGCCGCTATAGCTAAAGCGTTCCAGGCGCTTTTGGATAGCGGATAGCACTGGCGCAATGTCAAACATATGCTGTCGAACCAATGAAGGTGGAAATCATTTTTGAAGTTGAAATGGCTGCATGTGAGATGGTTAAAATTTGCTTGAATGTCAAGCAAAAGGCGACAGCAGGACTAATCAGAGGCGGCTAAAATGGGCTCCCTCTGCGCTATTTAAGCTTCACCTATCAGCATATATGAGGTAACGTTAAGTTAAAACCCCGAACTCACGGTTTATACTCACTGTGTTTATGCGTCCCTCGCACCGCCACCGTATAATATTAATGTTACGTGTTCAAGGCCCAGCACAATCCCAACGTGTCCCCCCCGCTTTGCGTGTGTATGTGTATGTCTTGTCTCTCCTACCCACGTGTTGACCGTCCTAACGCACACTCTAAAAACAGAGACGCATCAGCTGATCAAGTCTCGCGATAAGTCCGCTGTCAGCGTTAATGTATGGATGCATCGCGAGATCACAGTGGTCTCGGACTTCACGAGGCTGCCGAAGACGTTACGGAGTCGTTTCTTTATAATGTTGAGGGAATAAGTAAATGTGACAGAAAGACTCGAAATAGATTCAAGGATTGTAGCTCAAAATATGTTTAAAGGTAAAGTAAAACAAAGTACAAACAGCGGCAGTTATTTGATGTTATTGACATGGTAGTTGGCTGCTAAACTTTGAACTTTGCCCCTGGATATGATAAAGCCTGGTACACTGGAGTGTTTGCCACATTTTAAAAGATCACAGTATTGACCCGTCAAGCAGTGTGATATGCAGTATTTCATTTAAAATGGCATTTAAATCTTGATTTTTGTATAATTATACATATGACCTCATATTAATTGAGACTATATGGAACATTTAAGTAAACTTGCAGAAAAAGAAAAAGATTAAAAACTGATGGAAATGCTGAACTATCTAGTACACAATATTCATTTTAAAATATATTAATATAAAATAATTAAAAAAGATGTTAAAATTTGTCAGTCTCCCTAATGTAAGTCGCTTTGGATAAAAGAGTCTGCTAAATGACTAAATAATCTTGATTTTTGTATAATTATACATATGACCTCATATTAATTGAGACTATATGGAACATTTAAGTAAACTTGCAGAAAAAGAAAAAGATTAAAAACTGATGGAAATGCTGAACTATCTAGTACACAATATTCATTTTAAAATATATTAATATAAAATAATAAAAAAAGATGTTAAAATTTGTCAGTCTCCCTAATGTAAGTCGCTTTGGATAAAAAAGTCTGCTAAATGACTAAATAAATAATGCATGGTTAAGTTATCTATATGGATTACTTAGCTTGTGAAAGGCCACTTTCACAAACAGATTCCAAAGTCAAAGATTTGAGGTCAAAGGACGTTTTTGAGCATATTTTTGTTGTTTGTTTCTTGTTTTATTTATTTTGTTAAAGTTGGTTTTAACAGAGATGTTGCAGTTGTGTTGTACTTTTGTTCTTCCATATATTCAGAATAGAAATACTGCAAAACCAAACTCTAACCATTGTTGGCTCATTTACCATGATGAATCAAGAGATTGTGGAAAGGTAATCACTTTAAATGTTGTTAAAATTGATGAATGTAATCCACAGAGTATCTCTTTATCATTTAGATTTCATTACAATGCCCCTGAAGCGAGGTTATAGTCAAGTTTTTTGACTATTTTATCAATACAAAATCATTAAAAGTTCAAACCTCTAAAACATTTTGTTTTTGCCCAGGTTGTATGGCAGTTTCTGAGGTGATAAACATCTGATACAGGTATCTTCTTGGCATTTAAACATTTCTTTCCCTTTAATAAAACCCAGTTAGAAATGTAGAGTAAAAATTGATTCCACATGTTAGACAGCAGGGTAACAGGGTTGAGGGAAACTTTTATTACGAACACTGGTATAATTAAATTGCCATGTTATACATGAACAGCAACTAACCGCTTTACAAAAAAGCAAGTAATACAATATCACATATATTTACACTTGTATTTATATACCTTCCAATTTTACACAAACATATTTACAGGTGACCAATGCAATTAAAAATGTGGCAATGCATCAGACAAACACACATTTTGAATTATATAAAATAAACCACTTTTTTAGTCAGGTTTATGATGAGAACATAAGACAGTTTAATTACATAAGCAATTTAAAAGGCTTAGGGGCATGTCATGTGTCCTATTCGCCATCATGGCAGTCAAGACTATGCCTTCATTATTGTCTTAAAGTTTTGATAGGTCAGTTGTAGATTGGTAGTAGCAATGCAACATCTAAGATTCAAGAAAAAGGAGTTATATTCTGGTTATTCAGAGTAATGGATGCAAAAAAAGAAGACAAATCTTACACTTCCAACACTCGATTGGGTCATTATGTTCCTTCATATTTTCAATTTATCTTAAAAACTGTAAATTTGACATGGACTGATGTGAAATTCGCCATCACGACATATAGAGAAGGAATAAACATTTCAAGTTTAATTTTTGATCATTGTGATCTGAAATCTGCTGTTGGGATGATATTTCACTGTAAATACTTGGTGCCCTAAAATGACCACAAGTCAGCATGAACGTACATTTTTGGACCTGCAGTATAGTACGTTGTAAAACATAGGAAAATGTTAAATAAATCTACAAATGAAATGGAAAAATGACATTGATTTGGTCCCAATTTTAAGTGTGAAACATCTAGTATTTCAATGCAATCCTTTCAGAAACATAAAATTAAAATTATGCATAAATATTCCATCCTCAAACATTTGGCAGGTACCCTTTTCTTTAGTAATACAAGTTCCCTTTAATAAGCATTTCAAAGAGACAATGTACTTGAGTCTGTTACTAGGTACACTACCGTGTCCTCCTTGTAGATTTGCAGATTGGCATAATAATGACAGAAAAGTAATGCAGAAAACATATTGCACACAAAAATCGCCCACTTCAATTTTGATGGCCATTGTATGTTAAATACACCGTGAAGCCCTGCAAATAAATGGCATGTTAATTCCAACTTAAATGGCACAATTGTGTTTAATTTTGCAATTCACTGGTTAGGCGACGAGTGGGAAAACGATAAAATTAAATGCCAAAAACATGGTTACAACGCTAGTGAGAACTGTATGGAAGATAATAATTCTTTAAGGCATACAACATAGACAAGACCGACATAAAAATATGCTAAATGGAGTTCACAACAGTTTCCCCTCACAATATTGCAAACTAGTCTTTGGTGCAATGTTACTATGTCAGTTTGTGGTGGGATTGGGATTCCTGTGCTGTACGTGAGCTGTTAGTGAGACGGGAACAGGGGAAGATAAAAGTGTGCATGGATATTTCCTGATCACACACTTAAATCATGTGCAATTTGTATACACACAGTGTTCAACGAAACAAATAAAAAAACATATTGCACCACAGTGAGACAATGCTAAAACATGAATATTAATGCCAATTTGTCGTGTTTGATTTGTGCATTTTGGGGGGAAAAAAATACATACTCATCCGCTGCTCTTCTAGAATTGTTTTTTTTACGACCGATCGCAAAGCAAACCTTCATGTGATCTCTGAAAACATTATCTACAGAATAAATATTTAGAAGCTGCAATATGATATTCTCGTAGTTGATGGTCACATGGTACAGTTTACACCGTAGCGACGTATGGACAATATGGTAAATGTTAAAGCCGCAACACGTTTTCATAATTAGTACCTGTTTTCCCTTCCTTAGCAAGGTCTTGCCTATTTTACAAACTATACACAGCTGAAAACCCTGACAAAGGCACACAATGGATAAAATAAGAACCCAAAACATGTGATCGCTATTATCGTCAATAGTATAGTACACATATAATCTTGGATCGCCATCCAGATTTCAAGCCTGTGGATATCAGGACAGGACAGGCCCCTCGTCCATCCCGTATTGGGTCCGGAACAAAATGGAAAAAGGCCAGATGCCAGGCCAGGATAATGAGCCTGCGAGTCTCCACACGGTTGGTCATCTGTTTGCTGTAGTGGTTGATCAGATCAGTTTCTCATTCTTGTGTTTCTTTCAGACATCGATGAGGACATAATCTCAAGTTTGTGCAAAACGAAGAGTGGACGCCTCAGCTAGACAGATTTAGCATTTCAATGTGGTCGGTCCCAAGACATTTTCGATGTTGAGTGCAACACATAAGAGTTCAGTGCATTCTCCTGAAGTAGTTCATTTAGGCAAGTGTGTGGCAAGCTTCAACTGGTATTAAAAAAACAAACACTTAAGCGGTTCTTCAATGCAGGAACCTTGTTAACTGGACGACGGAAAGCAAAAAGGATTCGTGGAGAAGAACGATGGCCGTGGAGTAGAGAGAAATGCTTCAAATCTTCTCAGACGATCTTTTTGATGCTTGGCCGTTTGAAGCTGCCTGCACTACGCTGCTTCTGCACCTGGCTGGCTGACCCGTGTCGCGCTCGCCCACTGGTGGAGAGACTCGAGGTGGGAGAAATCTCAACGTTCTCCTTGTCGATGCCTGCAGGAGAGAGATGTAATGTAATACCAGTCACAACTGTTGCCTGTTTCTTACTCAAAACCTTAAATCGAATCAATTACCTTCACAATAATTGTTTAATCTTAATTTACGTTTATCAAATGTAAAACATCAACTCAAGCATTTGGTCAGGTTTCACAGACGTATGCTTTGGCATGGAGTCTAACTGTAAGTACACATATTGAACAGCAGGTGTCTCAGTGCACTACATTATCACACAGAGGTGAAAGTCTCATGCAGGGATCCTGTGAGCATTCATGATATGAGACATAAGTGTGCTTTTAAAATGTGCCTGTTGTGCTTGTGTAAATTATTATAAGGCATATATCAGCATTACTATTCTCACAGGTTCAAATTTACAAACTGTAGTGTAAACTATAAAAGGCTTTTCACACTCTGTTTAACACTGGGTGTTAATGTCTTTTATAAGATTTCACACTTGTAATTTTTTTAAAGGCCACACTGCTTTAAACTTTGGGTTATGATGTATTTAGCTGGGTGCTAAAGCCAAACTGTGGTGCAAAGAAACAATGTGGTCCTGTAATAAAATATCAAGTTATTTAGCAACAGACAGCCAAACATAACCTGCCTTAGTATGCATCAATTTATATATAAAATTAAAAATATAAAAAACAAATTACATTATATATGTATTAATTACAAATTAATTTATGTAACTTTTAATTAATTTTAATATTATTAAAATTAAATTATTAATTTTATTAAATTAATTAATTTAACTAATTTATTTACATTATTTATTTATTTATATAACAATAATACACATTTAAAATTATATAATATATAAACAGTGCCTTATGTCTCTCATGGGACGAAGAGGATATAGGCCCGGTTTCACAGACAGGACTCAGACTAAACCAGGATTAGGCCATAGATCAATTAGGACATTTAAGTAATTTTTATAAACGTACTTAGAAAAAAAACATTACTGGTGTGCATCTTGAGACAAAACAAAGGCACTGATATATTTTAAGATCAGTCAGTGCAAGTTTCTTTCAGTTGAAACAGCTCAGACTTAAATTTGAGTCTAGGATTAGGCTTAAACCTTGTCTGTGAAACCAGGGGGTAAATTAAGAAAGAAAATATTTCAACAAAATAACATAATCCCATCTATATTAAACTAAAGAAAAAAAAATTGCATATAATTTATCAAATATTTAACTAACATATAATAAATATATAAAATTATAAAATAAAATTAATAAACACAATTAAATAAGAGATTAATTGCATAATTGTTGATTTTTATCAAAAACAAAATAGAAATTATATATAATAAATAATGTTTATATTTTAAGATACATTTTTTTTTTTTATAATTTGAATTTTTTTTTAGGCAAGTAACAGAATTCATATACACTAGTCAACATTTGAAGTGGATCAAAACCTTTCATCAAAGTTGTCCTAAAACCAAAATGCATTCTTGTCTTAGGACAACTTTGATGAACTTTTTTGATCAACTTTAAATGTAGACTACTGTATATTTATATACAGTATACTTTTTTAGACATTAAGACTTAAATTAACCAAGGGTTAAAAATGACAATGGCCTAACAATTTCAAGCGTTAAAAGCCTTTCAGAATGCTTTTAAAACTGCAAATGTTCTGTCCTCCTCATTTGCGCTTAATATCAGGCCCGTGTGATCTCTCTTCACACTTCCTGTTAAAGCAGCCCCTCTTGCTTTGATCTGACAGTAGCATCTACTACTGATTCCAGCAGCAGATTTACAATACAAACACACTGCGAATGGCAACAACTGCTATTTTCACACAACAGAGGTCGATGATGAGTACCTGGGAGGACGAGGTGAGGTGGGAATACAGCTGACTTAGAGCAAGGCAGACAGGCTTCACACAGAGAGAGTAGAAAAAAAAAGACATGAGTGACACATTCACAACTCAAAAGAGGACAGGAAGGACAGATGAATGGAAGAAACAGGAAATCAAAATAAAAATGGCAGCTTACAAATATATCTAACTTTGTGCATTTTACTCTAAATGACCAACAAAAGCAGAGTTCTGCTGAACAGCGAAGCTAAGCAGTAGCTGATATTAGCTCAAAATGCAGATTAAATCCATATCAAAAGGAGAAATTAGTTAGAAGGAATGTGATTTAGACATTCACTCAAGTGCTTGCTGGATCATCTAATGACGTCTGTTACATATACACGTATATAAAAATACCTCCGTTATGAAAATACACCCTTTAATGGCCAATTTAAACTGAATAGTATCACACTGCCACCACTGAAAAAAAGTAAAGACAAGAAATAGGCACTTAAATAAGTTACCACAGTTCGCAAACTATAGAACTGGACATTAATTGCCCAAAACAGCTCTATAGTTTAGGTTTGTACCAGCTGTTTTCGGTGGCACCTCCTCTGTGGTTCGTGGATGGGAGAGAGTTGGGGACCGTCTATAAACTATAGGGCCCTCTGAACCGACAGCACATTCCCAATAAAAAGGAGACAGAATGCAGTGAGGTTAATGAAGATACAAACGCAAAGCAAAGGTGTCAAATGCACACACAACCAACTGTCAAAGCCCTGTACGATGGTCTACTCTAAATCTTGCACGTATAGCGAAGCCCGACAAACTGTAAACTGGCGACACTTTTAGAGGTCTCGAGATGTGAAAGTAGACAGAAAAGCACTAAAAACTGCAAAAGCAGCGCGTTTCCAAACAGAGCTGTTACTGTGTTATTTTTTATTGCTAGGGTATGTCGCAACGACAGCACATGTGTTAGCGTTATCGTGACTCACGTAATCGTATTTATGCGAGCAGGTGTCAGTAGCTCGGGAAGAATGTGAAGTGTGAAGTTAAGTGAGCGACTACGACTAATTTGCGCCTATGTGTGTGTGTAATGATGCAGGAAGTGAGCACTGACCTGGTGAGTGCTGTGAGGTGGCGAGAGATGTCATGGAGTTGGACAGGTTGAGGTTGGCCGTGATGCTGAGCTGGCTCTGGACGGTGGGCGGATATGGAGAGGTGGGGGTGCGCAGTGACTCCTCCCCTCCTTCTTCTTCGATACCAGGAAGGTAAGTGTCAATCAAAGCATCTAGGAACTTAACCACAAGCTCGGCATAGTCTGGAATTTGGGTTTGCTGTTGGAGAGAGTAAAAGCAGGAGTGACTTAATGATTTAGCTTTATTTAAAATATTTGGGTCACTACATATGACACAATCTGAGGGATATTATTCACACCCGTTTCGTCATTATGAGTGTAAGTTTGATTACTCTAACCTTGAGTATGAGCAATAGCAATAGTGACAACATTTAATGACTGGAATAACCTAGATATTTAGGATTTGCTGTGGTTATAAATCTATTAATATAATAAACATTATAACCAGGGTTTGAAATTAACACCCGCCAATCCGCCAAATGCGGGTAAAAATCAGCTGTGGCGGGTAACGCTGTCAAATCACTAGCCCCATTCAGAAATGACACAGAATTGTGTTATACAGTTGTGTGATATGACAACATTAAAGGTTCTGCCTGAAAACAGCCACGACAAGGTAAAATGCATGTAAACAAACTTTAATAGCTTATTTCTATTTAAATGTTTCATTCTAATTGATTTAAAATTGGCTGGTGAGTGAAAAAGTTAATTTCAAACCCTGATTATAACAATGAAAATATTGGCAGGGCAAGTAAAAACCTGAATTACTGGTCTGACAAGGCAGGATGAAACGGATCATTATTGCTGAGCCATGAAAGAAGGAAAACAGTTCCTTCAGCAAGGGATAAATAAGCAATACATCCCTGTCATTTACACCTTTTTAAACCACAGCAGAACTGTTGGAGAGTAAGAGGGCACAGACACAGGATGGGTGTGGGAGATGTTTGGGGAAGCCGTTTTGGTCAATAAATCTAGAAAGCTGCAGAGAGACCGCAGCACACAATTTCTTCACTGCGCTCTGTTGGAAAATGAAAAGTGTTTATGGGAGCAGTTAATCATACCTTAGAGAAGGGCCCGGCAAACCTCCAAAGACCGTTGAAACCGAAACCTGTGAGACAAAGAGAGAGGTGACAGCAGAGACAGATGACAGTGATGAAGAATCAAAAGAAAAAAAGGGAATCAGTCAGACATCAGAACTCTAAACAATACTAAACTAGTGTTGTTAATCGATTAAAAATTGCAATTACATGCGAAATCAATTTAATAATAACAGTCTATAAATATTTGCATTTTTAAATAAAAAAATACAAATTAATAGCACTAAATTAATATGATAAGTTGACAGCGCTACTTTAAAAACTTGCTTTTAGACAATTAAGAAAGCATCTGCCAAGAAATGTGAATGTTGAGAAATGACTGAAGAGATTGGCTTTACTCTGCAAGCAGGACGGCTGGTATTGGGGAGGAGACTCCTCATGATAAACCACATTCTGAATGATGCCATGGACGGGGTTCAGGAGGTTGGGGTCCTGGCACATGGAAAGGACGGTGCTTAATTTGGAGTCCAGCAGGTTATGGCTATAATGGATAAAAATGACACAGGCAAAATGAATGTCAAACTACAGGGCCGAAACTAAATATTCAACAGACCGGATCATTTTCATGCATATTGCGAAAGCTAATTAGTGTAAATTATCTAAGTGGACCTAAAAAACTTGTTGTCATGTAGGTGTAGTACAAAACAATAACACACTCTTCTCGCATTCTTCACATTTTTTTTGATGGAACTCAATTGGCTAGAGGATTATTATTTGAATATGTGGCTTTATATGTATTACTCATGCCAAACACACTCATAGGTATGCATCATTATGACGATTAGTGACTTGGGAGTAGTATGAAACTGTAGCTGTACATTACAGTAAAGACACTTTTAAATCAAAAATTACTCTCAAGAACTAATAAAAACAGTGTCATGACATTGTTTCCATATCTAGTGTATGCAAAAAGATACTTCAATTACACACAAACATACATTACCGTTCAAAGGTTTGGGCTCAGTAAGATTGTTATAAGAAATTAAGAGTTTTATTCAACAAGGATGCATTCAATTAATCAAAAGTCACAGTAAAGTAATTTATAGTTTCGCAAAAGATCTCTAAACTTCAAATGCTGTTGTTTTGAACTTTTTATTCATTAAATAATCCTAAAAAATGGTTTCGAACAAAATATTAAGCAGCTTTATATGTTTATTTTAGGCTTTTACAGCATTCAAATTTGGCCACAGAAGCTCAAGCATGCTTTGCTTGACATGAGAACCAATGATTGCCAATGTTCGCTGATGAATGTTTATATGTGGAAAAAAAACTAAATTAATTCTGCTCATTATATAAAGTGATCATGTCTCTTCAGAAGACTTGGATTAAACTTGTTGCAAATGTTTTGAAAAATAAAAAAACCTTTTGAAGCATGAGAGTTGAGTTTTGGGTGAACAAACTTTCAGTGGATGGACAGAAATCTTTCAGGTTTCATTAAAAATATCTTCATTTGTGTTCCAAAGATGAACAAATTTCTCATGGGTTTGGAACTACATGAGGGCGAGTTAATGATGACAGAATTTCATTTTGGAGTGAACTAACCCTTTAACTATTTTAAACATTCAAACTTGTTGGATAATTTTACAAAAACAATTGGTAACACCTCATTTCTGTATCTTTCCATTCACGTCAACACAACCCTGAAACTCATGAAATATTTTTAGCATGGGAAATAATAGGAGACTAATGGATCTTGAATGACTCGGAGTGATGTGTTGGTATGTAATATGGCAGACACTCACACTACTGGAAAGACCTTGGGGAACACCACACTGGCCTCAGCCAAATACTCGTACAGGATCCGCTGATGAAACTCATCTGTAGTGTATTTCACCAGTGTTGCCTGCAATTAAAAACAATACTTCACTATACAACAGTAAATATAATATAAAAACCATCATAGATGGAGAAAGAAAAAGATCTTCATTTAACTTTCTTGTGCTATACATAAGGCAATAGAAAAGAAAAAACATTTAATATACAAAGACAATTCCACCTGTAGAAGGATTTAAAGCACAAGTTCAAGTGCAATGAAAAGTAGTATGGAGCACACACCAGTATAGTAAGGAGCAGCGTCTGGATCTTTGGGTCTGTGAGAACATTCTCGTCTAGGAGGACATTGGACTCAGACACAGAAACTTTGCGTAAATGGGAGTTGGCTATTCGCTGAGTTTCTGGAATAAAGAAGAGGTGTTGGCAATTCAACCTCTCTCATTTCAAAGCCCAATTAACATTTACTGCATACAGATTAGCACTGGCCTGTAGCAGGAGTTGGCTATTCGCTGAGTTTCTGGAATAAAGAAGAGGTGTTGGCAATTCAACCTCTCTCATTTCAAAAGCCCAATTAACATTTACTGCATACAGATTAGCACTGGCCTGTAGCATAACACATTTAATTCATAATTGTAAAAAAACTCACCTATCTCATAGTCATTTTCAGAAACTCGTCTCATCTTTGGAGGTGTGGTGATGCCTGACTCCATGTCTGGTCTCTTTGGGGCTTTTGAGTCCGAAATCAGATGATCAAAACTCTTTCTAGTGCCTAGAATAAAAATAAAAGCACTTAAGTATGAAGCTAAAGTAAAGCTACAGCATGTTTAAGAGCCTCTTAGAAAGAATGAAGTCATCAGACCGCTAATACCCAGAAGTTTCTTCGCATTGGCCTGTGACGGCTGGCCCATGTCTACGCTCATGGATTTGCGTGGGCGAAGGCTGGTCTGCCCCATTGCAGAGTACGGAGGTGCAAGACTGCGGTCTGACACTTTCGGAGAAGCCCAGGGCTGGTTTTCACGCAGTAGCCTGACACATAAGAGAGTGTGAAAATCAACAAGCAACAACAAAAAAAAGCAATTAAAAAAAATATCAATATAGTGTGGTTGGAAATACAAGTAAATAGGAGAAAGAAAAACAGAAAATTCAAACCTGTATGATGAAAAATTCTCACCTGCATCCAGGTTCAGTGTCATACGCGGAGTACGTGTCCATGGGAAAGTTTTCCATGGTAACTTCTGAGAGCAGTAATGACTTCCTGTGCTTTAGACTGCAGCGGCTCCTCACCTCCTCTGATACTGTGAGCAAAGCTATACACAAACATACACTTTAGATGTTTCCATCTGAATTAAGATGCATATCTACTTCATAACAGGTTGTGATTGTTTGCTTAAGGTTGTACTGGCTTTAATGTACCTGCCAGATAGGCCACACTCTGCGTGTTCACCTCAAACTTGTCACAGCTACGGTGTTTTCCCACCAGGCCCAGGAGCGTATGAAGGATACGGACTGTCCTGGCCACAGTGGTGGAAGAGGGATGTCTGTATCCTAAATGAAGAAAAGACAAATATGAGGAACCAGACACATGAAAGACCTTTCACTGATGAACTGCAAATGCTCAATGTGATCGACTGTTAAAACTGCTCAATGCATCAACTGGTCTGTTTATACAACAGTAATGCATAAATTCAGCAACCTAGAAGAATGAATAAAATGTAAAAAAGTACAAAAAATAATAATAATAATAAATCAGGTTCAACATGGATAATAATAATCATCATCATCATCATTATTATTTAGTTTATTTTAATATTCAAGCCTTTTCAACCCCTTAATTTATGAACCCTTTGGAAATATTGTGAAATAAAAATGGAAAATTACATTAAAAAAATAAATCAATAATTAAAATGGCATGTTAAACCCAATTTATAATAATAATAATAATAACAATAATAATAATAATTATTATTATTATTATTATTATTATCCCTCTGAAACATTGGAACGGATTAGTTTTAAACCAGACATTAGTTATAAGTCAAATTAAAATAAATGCATGTTGACCCTAATTTTTTTTTTATTCATTTGTACAAAGCAGGCAATGGACATTCTTAATGGAAATATTAATTCTACAGTGTGATCCACTGATTTTTTTAATCATTACCTTTGAGCAAGTGCCCCACTAATGCAAAGTTGAAGTTGGAGGCAAAGTTGAGTCCCACAAAATGGTCCATTTGTTTACAATGCCATTCCAGAGGCTTCCGGATCTCCATGAAGACCTCCTCAGGACTCTATAAAGGGGTGGAAATGTTTTTATGACGATAACTGCTTAGAGCAGGGGTCACCAAGCTCGGTCCTGGAGGGCTGCTGTCCTGCAGAGTTTAGATCCAACTTTCCTCAACACACCTGCCTGGAAGTTTCAAGTATACCTAGCAAGACCTTGATTAGCTGATTCAGGTGTGTTTCATTAGGGTTGGAGCTAAACTCTGCAGGACA